GCTCAAGAGTTTGAGCTCTGAGCAACAGCAGTTCGAGTCCCGGCCCGAGCTGAGCAGCCGCTGAGCTGCCAACAGGTGGCAGGATGGCTCAGCTAAAAAAAAAAAATTCTTGAAAAACAAAAACAAAAAAACCCATATACATCCTCTTAACTGACATCTTTTTGCTTTATAATGAGATATCTTTATTGCCCAGAAACAAGAGTGGATCGATTCTAGGCCCTAGTGTATCTCATCCCCGCCCCGACACCCTCCCACACACACCAGATTCTGTTGTAAGAAGCATTCTTTGCATACTTTATCAAGGAGTCAATAATCAGATCAATCCTGTTTCTTGGCCTCTTAGCCATCTTGTTCACATATTCAAACTAATTAACCTTTAGCAATGAAATCAAGACCTTTATTAACATGAATTTTTTACTGTACCATCTTGCTAGTCTCTGTTTTTCCCATTGCCGCATTCCCTAAAGTCACAAAGAATAGACTAGTTCTCTTTGCCAAAGTAGACTAGTAATGGAAACATTATTGGGTTCTAAGGAGGCAAGGGTACTCCTTCTTTCCTTAGTTGTTTTACATCCTTATATTGGTGGCTTTAGCAGAGTTAAGGGCAGTCCCATGTCAGATTTAGTCAATGTATAATTTGGCAAGGCAAAGCTGTATTCAAGGGACTGATAGAGTATTCTTGACTACTTCTCTTTTCTGCACCCCAACCTCAATTCAGGGTATTCATAGGTTTCAGAAAATCCTCTGTATTAGTCAAGATTCTTCATAGAAATAGAACCAACTACATATATATATATATATATATATATATATATATATATATATATATATATATATATAAATTTTAAAGAATTGATTCACCTGATTGTAGAGGCTGGGAAGTCCAAAATGTGCACAGTGAGCTAGCAGGCTAGAGGCCCAGGGAAGAGCTAGAGCTATAGTTCAAGTCCAAAGGCTGTCAGGCTGAGGACCCAGGGAAGAGGCAATGTTTCAGTTCAAGCCTAAAGGTTTTCTGCTGGCAGAATTCTCTCTTGCTGGAGGAGGTTAGTCTTTTGTTCTATTCGAACCTCCAACTGATGAGTGAGGCCCACCACATTATAGAGGGCAGTCTGCTTTACTCAAAGCCCACCAATCTAAGTGTTAATCTTATCCAAAAACACTCCACGGAAACATCCAGAATAATATTTGACCACACATGTGGGCTCCATGGCCCGCCAATGTGACACATAAAATTAACTGTCATACCCTCTAAAAGATGGTCATTTTCCTAAGAAATGTATAGGGTGGGGAAAAGAGGGAAATAGAACCTTGGAATGTTAGCCTAAGATGGGTGGATACAGTAGGGGCCTCCAAATTTCTCCTTTACCACTCCTGAGGAACTGCTTACGAACTGGGAAGTTCAGACAAATAGGTAGACTCAAGACCACAAGTATTTTATAGAGTTCAAGATTTATAAGCTGTGCGTCTTTCTTCAACTTCTCTTCAGATGGGACCATAGTAGGTTAGGAAAGTTTTGCCAAAAGGAAGAGAAGTGGAAAAACCAAGTAAGTCTACCTGCAAGAATTATTATATGCTAACCTCAATTTTACAATATTTAAAAGACAGAATGCTGTCCATTTATTAAAAATTATAAAGATGATAATTGGGAACATAGAAAAATAGTTAAAACAACACATTATTACATCTATAGAAATGTTGATGTTAAACCATTACATATTTAAACAAATTGGAAAAACATAAAGATATGCTAATGGGCTGAAAGTTTTTTTTCGGGTGATGAAAAATTCTAAAATTGTGGTGATGGCTGTACAACTCTGTGAATATACTAAAATCCATTGCATTGTACACTTTAAGATGGTGAATTGTATGACATGTGAATTATATCTCAATAAAATCCTCATAACAAAAAAGGGAACATGAAGAAATAAAAGCATTTGTTATAATCATGTTGTAGAACTCTGGGCAAAATTTCCTTTTATTTTAATTCTTAAGAAATAACCAATGATTCTTCTAATTTAGGAGAGGTTCTTTGTACCACTATCACTTCAGGGGATCTCTTTTATTCTTTCTGAATATTGTAAATTGTATAACTTTTGTGCATGTTATGTAAAAAACACAAACTTCCATTATTTCTCTGAATAATGTTAACATGACATTCTTAACAATTAATTAGAGATGATGATGTACACATTTTACGGGTCTCAGGATTTATGGATTCGTGGGTCTCAGTTTTTGACATTTCCAAAGTGGCTTTCTTAGAAAGCAAGAAGAACCAGGCACTAAAGAAAAACATCATAAAGAGAACCAAATATTATTTTGTGTTCTCTTCTCCTCCTCACATCCAAGGAGGAATCTCTATTTTCACAGCCTCTTAAAATGAATATGACATTTGAATTTCTCACAGAAGACAGGAACAAGCCTCATATTTAGCAGTGAAGGACACTGAATAGTATCTTTAATGTACAGACAATCCCAGGGTTGTGAAGAGAAAGAAAAAGCCATTGCATATTGCTACTCGCCCCCAAACTGATTGCACACCCCTGCCATTTTGGCTTGGTGCAAGGGGCCTTTTGGTTCCCTGTCTTCTCTGTGGGTTCATCATCTATCATCAGGCGTCCTGTTTGCTTGACACTAGCTGGTTGGGCCCAGCATGAGAGCTGCTTTGGAGAAGATTGTGTGGATATAATACATTTTTAACAACATTTTTTGCAGGGTTTTTTGTTTGTTTGTTTTGTTTTGTTTTACAGATTGCAACATCAGGCACTCAGGAAGAAGAGTAAGAGGCCAAGTAGAGCTGCAGACGGGCAGGGAAGGCCAGTAAGGTTGGCAGAGCCAACAGGCAGACAACAGGGAGACTTGGCAAAGAAGTAGTGGGCTGAGAAGAATAGGTAAGGGATTGACGAAGCAAGGATGGGCTGAGGAAAGGTTGGTGTTGGAGGCCGGTGTGACCAACGGGAGGCCAGATGGAAGAAGCAGGATGGGCTAGGGACCCGGGAGAAGACGGCCTGAGGTTAGCCTCCCAGATGTGGTTGGGGGTTGGGAGTGGGGAGGGGAGGGAGCGCTCGGCGCATGCGCTGGAAGCACTGCAGCGATCCTGCAGAGGCAGTCCTTAGCTGGCGTCAGACTTGCGGCTGGAGCCACGGCTGGTGTGCCTGGTGTCCAGTGCCACCTTGGCCTGCTGCTGCCACCCTGGCGCCGCGAACTCTGTGCCGACGCTCCCTCCACCCTGTCTTGGGACGGCCGGCACTAAAAATTCATGCTGCGATACTCGATTCAGCCAGGAGGTAAAAAGTAACGACCTGAGGGAAGAATATGGAGGGCGGCGGAGAGAACTCGGGCCAGGGAGATCCTTAATTTGTATGTTCTCCCTGTTCATGATCGGGAAGAAATGGGGGGCAGCGCGGGCCACAGACCTACAACAGGGTGTTGAGCATGTATTTCCCACTGTGAAAGGGATAGACTCCTTTCCCCTAACAAGGGTTGAGGTACCTGGGCGTCGGTATTTTCCCTACTGTCCCCTGCTAAAAAATTTCGGAGTGCCTCATGTGTAGCAGGTGTATTTGAAGGGCGGGGCCTTGTGACTAAGCTCATCTGATCATGAGAGCTTTCTTTGCCTTTGTTCAGGGTGCTGGGTCTTAGTACGGAGTCCGAGGGTTTCTAGCCTCTCCCTGGGGGTCGGGGCGGATTCCATCCCGATTTGGCATCTGCTTGGATCACCTGCAACGCAGCCTTTTCCGTACTCCACTTCCCGAGTTTATCACACTTACCATTAGGGAACGCTGGTCGTGGCTGTCCTTGAGCACTGGGGCACAACTGTGGCAAGAAACACGTTCAAGATAGCCATCAGGCGTGTATATGTAAAAAACCGAGGTGGGAGAGCAGAGAACACGGGAAGGTGGGCGCGGTGCCCGGGTGTATTTGAGAGCCTGGGGAGGTGCGGGAGCGCGCAGGTATATTTCAGAAGGCCTGACGTGAGAGGGGGCGCTTGTGGGGAGAGTGGGTAGTACGCATGCGCAAGGCTTAGGGCGAGGAAGAGGGTCTAAAGCGTATTTTAAGAAAGCAAAAACTGGTGGTAGTCGGTACCCGCAGTTGGGAGGGAGAGTGAGAGTGCGCATGCGTACTTGAGACAGCGTTGCCGGCTTTAACGGTAGGGAAGAGGCGCGCATGCGTACT